AAATACCAACATGTTTCACCTATTTTTCAAGCTTTATCAAAGTGTTCTTGATTTATGGAATATATAGGTTTCATAGTGTAGTGGTTATCACGTCTGCTTTACACACGGAAGGTCCTTGGTTCGATCCCCAGTGAAGCCATTGGTTTTCTTTGAAAAATTTGTAAGTCAAATGTGCTTCTCATTTACAAAGGTTCTTGATAAAAAGTTGACGAGTAGGTTGAAATTGAGATTAGATAAATACTGTGTAGATTATTCATTAAAATGGGAAAGAACAAGTTGTGTCGTTTTGTTTAGAGAATTTCCATTCTATTTCTGTATATATCTATTAAAAATTATGCAAGTTTGGGTTATGGTTCCCAATTTTAAGAATGACCGAATGAGATAAAAAAATATAATCAATAATAAAAGTTATCCAAAGCATCCTGAAATAAAGATTGATAAAGAGGAAAGGGACTTTGAATTTCCAAGCTCATGTATTCCCTCTGACAATGCGCACGTGGATTACAGTGATTCTTCAGATGTGCTTATTCCTAAAAATGTATTAATGGCCATCACCACTACATAACATTTGCTGAACTCCAGGTAAAAATGTAAAGAACGCATTGTTTTTTAAAATGCTGATATAACCAGTATTTGACAAAAGGTCCGTGCATAAATACTGGCCATGTTAAGGTCTATTTTTCTGATGGTATGACAAAAAAATGTCACATCAACTGAGGATTCATAGTGTAGTGGTTATCATGTCTGCTTTACATGCAGAAGGTCCTGGGTTGATCCCCAGTGAAGCCATTGGTTTTCTTTTAAAAATTGGTAAGTCAAATATACTTCTCATTTACAAAGGTTCTCGATGAAAAGTTGCTGAATAGGTTGAAATTGAGATTAGAAAAATACTGTGTAGATTATTCATTAAAATGGGAAAGAAAAAGTTGTAGAAATATTTTTTGTTTAGAGAATTTCCATTCTATTTCTGCTATATTCCATTAAAATTGCAAGTTTGGGTTATGGTTCCCAATTTTAAGAATGACCGAATGAGATAAAAAAATATAATCAATAAAAAAGTTATCCAAAGCATCCTGAAATAAAGATTGAAAAAGAGGAAAGGGACTTTGAATTTCCAAGCTCATGTATTCACTCTGACAATGCGCACGTGGATTACAGTGATTCTTCAGATGTGCTTATTCCTAAAAATGTATTAATGGCCATCACCACTACATAACATTTTCTGAACTCCAGGCAAAAGTGTAAAGAACGCATTGTTTTTTAAAATGCTGATATAACCAGTATTTGACAAAAGGTCCGTGCATAAATACTGGCCATGTTGAGGTCTATTTTTCTGATGGTATGCCAAAAAATGACAAATCAAAAGAGGTTTCATAGTGTAGTGGTTATCACGTCTTTTTACACGCAGAAGGTCCTGGGCTCGATCCCCAGTGAAACCATTGGTTTTCTTTTAAAAATTGGTAAGTCAAATATGCTTCTCATTTACAAAGGTTCTCGATGAAAAGTTGCTGAATAGGTTGAAATTGAGATTAGAAAAATACTGTGTAGATTATTCATTAAAATGGGAAAGAAAAAGTTGTAGAAATATATTTTGTTTAGAGAATTTCCATTCTATTTCTGCTATATTCCATTAAAATTGCAAGTTTGGGTTATGGTTCCCAATTTTAAGAATGACCGAATGAGATAAAAAAATATAATCAATAATAAAAGTTATCCAAAGCATCCTGAAATAAAGATTGAAAAAGAGGAAAGGGACTTTGAATTTCCAAGCTCATGTATTCACTCTGACAATGCGCACGTGTATTACAGTGATTCTTCAGATGTGCTTATTCCTAAAAATGTGTTAATGGCCATCACCACTACATAACATTTGCTGTAAAGAACGCATTGTTTTTTAAAATGCTGATATAACCAG